GATGTGCCATCAGGAACTATATCGGGCAACGAATCTTCTGAAGATGTTTCTTTCCAAAAAGATGTTCTAGCTGCTGCTTCAGGAGAATCTTATCATAACGGACACGCATCTGTACTTGAAAATTATGAACAAGGTATTGACCTTGACAAAGATAGAGATACCACTCCAAAGTTAAGGCAGGCTTTATCAAGTTATGCTGAGAAGGATACCAATTTGAGATCTTCAAGAACTGCATCTGTAAGTAGTTTCAATGGTCAGCAAGCAATTGATGCAAAGATGAGCAACATTATAAAAGAGTTGAATAATGAGATAAGTGAGTTGAAAACCACCGCTAAAGCGCAATCTGAAATCTCAAATAAAAGAGTTGACACCCTTCAGAAGGAGCTTTTTAATTTAAAAGAATCTCACAAATCTGATAGTGATGGCCTCCAGAGACAGCTCGATGAAAAGGATGGTCTCATTGCTGAATTGAAAAGTGCAATTGATCCTGCTGTGCTTGACATCGAAAGTTCTCAAGGCTCGAACTCCAAAGCTTCAATTTCAGAGTTGTCTAAATATAAAATCGAAAGATTAGAATTAAAAAATAGACTCGTTTACTTGGAGCAAGAAAACTCAACGTTGACTTCGAAATTTAATGAATTTGAACCGTTCATGAATAACCAAATGGCTGATTTATCCAACTTTCAAAAAATTATTAAATCTCAGGAAGGGAAGATAAATAAACTTACAGCTCAGGTCAAAGACCAAGAAGTATTACACAAAGAAATCAGCGATTGGAAAGCTAAATATGAAAGCTTAGATTTAGAATTTCAAAATTACAAGACAATACATTCTGAAGATGAGATATCTGAAAGTGATTCTCGCGATATAGATCATCTTTCTACAGGTAATGAGTCGACCACAAGATCAAGAAGAGAGATCTCTTCTCAACTTGAGACACTAGTTGGTATTTGGTCAACAAGAAATAATGACATGTCTTCGAGAGGTGTGTCGGACTCTAATCCTGAAGAAAATTTAGTTGTTGCTCAGTTGCAGAAGCAAGTGGATGATCTCTTGCGTGTCAGTAAAGAGAGCGAGACGACGTCCTCTACTGAAATTAATAACTTGAAAGAGGATTTGAACCAAAGGTTGCATGAGCTCAGAAATTTGGAAGACAATTATCGCGACGCTTTGCAATCGGTTAACAATACTAGCAAGGCTTTGAAGTTAAATGAGAGCGAATTAAGGAATCAAAAGATTCTACTCGATAAATTGGCAAAGGAAAATTATGAGTTGAAATTGTTCCGTAGAGCAAGTAAGAGGACATCTAAACAAGTATCTCCGGTTGTCGGGGAAGCTTCTGAATTTGAGACAGGGGCTGGTGAAGATGAAGATGATGAGGAGGTTTTCTCAAATGCTCATTACAATATGAAAGTAAAAGATTTAGAAGCAGATTTGTATATCTTGAAACAAGAAAGAGACCAATTGAAAGAGAATGTGACAGTGTTACAGAAACAATTATATCTCGCTAGTAGCCAATAATTTTATAACGAATCGAAGTGACAAGTTAATAGCATATTCCATCTATATTTTAATGAAATTGATTGTATTATCTTATTAGTATATTCAGATAAATATATTAAATAAACTTATTTGCATGGGATTGTTCATAATCGATAATTTACATTTGTGTTTTTCATTTCGAATCATACGTCAGATTTTTATGAAGATGCATGTTGAATTCTAGTGACCTCCTTCTGCACTTGAATTTCTACTAGTTGAATTATCCACATCCACCAATAATCTATCATTTTGCGATAAATCATAAGTTGGAGCTGTTCGAGCCGTCGGATTAGAACTTACCAGCTCGTTTCCATCATCGCCATACGAATTTGTTGTCGGATCCCATGAAGAGCCTGAAGGTGGAACAAAATACTGGAACGGTGATTCATTTCTTGAGATAGGATGGTCCGAATAATCTGGCTCCTCTGCGAGATTACTCAGAAATCCTTCAGATTGATCAGTTGAGTCGTTAGGACCTTCCTCTATCAGTTCAAACACTGGTTCAGATGGCAATAAACTAGATTCGTGAGCTTTCATCCTATCCTTTTCTGATAGATGTATTGGATCGGGTATGGGTATCTCAGGTGGCTGAACCGAATTTTGAACTTCATCGTAGCGTGGAACAGCAACCGAGTTGGACCCATTCTCAACATATGGAGGGATTTCAAAGTCAGTAACTCTGACGGATTCTGGTATTGGGTTAATATAGGGTATGGTAGGAATAGAATGAGGAGTAACCCCATGAGGTGACGAATCATTTTGACTCATAGTTCCTGGTGATGCATTTGACGAAACGGACGATCTTTGTGATATAGGAGATGCAACATTTGCATCAGGAAGACGATTTGGACCTCCACCCTTCAGTCTATGAGTACCAATAATGACTTCTGTGTTTAATTGCAAGAACTTTTTCATTCTTTTATACTTATCCGTATAAATGAAGTCAGATCTCTCATGTTGTTCTGAAGAAGAAGTCGAGAAATTAAAGTTGAACTTAAAATTTCGTAAGCCTGAGGGGTCAATTATAGTCAGACTTACCGGCTCCTCTGACAGTATTCCGGTATCTTTATGCCCCACTCTATCAAGTGCAACTGATTTGCCCGAAAGATTCACTAAAACCTCAATAAAGTACTGAAATGATACCAAAGGGCACCCTACTATTGTTGGAAAAGCATCGGCGGGAACCCTAATGTTAGTATTAATCTCCGCCCGAAGAGACGTTGGATCAACATATAAGGGAATAACCAGCTGTTGAAGATCCTTTCTGAATGATTCGAATGTAGCGTCTGGCCCATTGTCTAGTCGGCAAACCCTCACGAAAGTCAATATTATACCATTCAAGTCTTGTATTTTTTTTAAATGATTAATTGTAAGCTTTACTGGTATCAATTCTCCTCTCAAGTAGCCCCTTTGAGGTATATCTAATGCAACTTTAATGAATTCTGGCTTTTCGCCACCAGGATAAGATACAACCGACGACATTGATACGCTAGGATTGACAGCCGTCCTATTTCCAACACCATTTACATTTAAATCGTGTTCTCCATCTTCATGCTCACCCAATACTTCTATTGGCGATGTAGTACTTATAGTATTTCCAGAATTATTTGAAGCAGATGACTGGGTCCTTGATAGTATTTTTGATTTTCTGGGATCTTTTATTATTAACTTTTTCGGTCTGGCAGGTGGGAGCTCTGCCACGTCAATTGGATCTATCAATCGTATTGTTTTTTCCGAAGAATAAACAGAATTTTGAATTATCTTTAGATGCTTGGCTCTGGTTATGAAATTACCACCAGGTGAGTTGGTTGAGTCAGAGGAGCTCGATACATTTGGAGATGCGGGCATCTGCATTTCAGAAGCATCCCCTATCACGGCTTTTAAAAGATAATTTATGGATCCCCTTCCAAAATCTATGCTGGTATAAACCCTCTTTTTCGGTAACTTGACAATGAACGGAAATCTGTGTTCTCCCTTAAATAATCCATTTGAAAAATCATTTGATTCTCGTCGCAGATTCACAGGAGGATGGTCATCCCCATAAATTTTTATAGTATGATTGAATAACGAGTATTTATTAGTTCGGAGCTTTGAATGTGACGAAGCATTTATCTTTACGTAGCCTATCAATGAAAGCGTTATCACAATGTTAGCTAGATTTTTCTTCGATATGAATATGATTTGTCCAGAGACTTCATCCCCAGGAAGCCATGAGTTGTGCGGTTCATCTAACTGAACATAAAAATCCTCCACAGAATTGAAGTCTATCTTAAAATTCGATTCGTTTGATGACGGCCGTATGCTCTTATTCGATATTATCTTCGTAACGGCCCGCCTCATCATTCAAGAACGGCCATTAATGATATATATATATCTAAAACTATCACGCCACGACACTTTTTTATGACACTCTATACGTATTATGTATTTGCGTCTTTTTAAAATCACTTCAACGAATGTAAATATAACGTTCATATGACAAACGCCATAGTAGTATAAAGGGATCCTCAACCGTATCGTTGATATCTCTATATGCAGTACTCGTAAATTTTATTGCCAGGAGCCCGAGCCGGAGAGGGATTGAACCAAAAGAGGGTTAGATTTTGGGGAAAAAATGCTCAGTCCTACATATCCAAAGAAGTACTTATTAGCGATCATTAAAACAAAATTATAGGTATTGTTACTACTTTATTTAACTAGACGGTAGTGTTACATATGCGATAGAAAAGGAAAGAGCCAGAATGAATAATTTTTTTTTTTCTCACTGAAAAAGCGTCATAATGATACTTATTCGAATGTCTTCTTCTTTCCCTGGAATTCTGTAGCTCTAGCTGCTGGCCTTGGAGAAGCAGTGTTTCCTCTTTCACGACCACGTCCAAAGGCTGGTCTTGGAGAGTTGTTGTTGCTCCTTGGAGTCGAAAAGTCCAATCTACATGGACGTCCCTCGATATACTCACCATTTAAGGCTTCTAATGCAGCCTTTGCTTCATCTTCAGATGCGTATTGAACATAGCCGAATCCTTTTGGTTGTTGAGTGTCTGGATGTGTAGGGATCCTGCAAGATACGACGGTACCATATTGACCGAAAACTTCGTACAAATTGTCTCTTTGCGCATTGAAAGATAAGTTACCAACGAACAAAGTGTCCGAAGGGGCTGAGGGTACGTCTCCAAATTGTTTAGCTCTGTCGACTCTTGGATTAGAAGCGCGTGGTTGTCCGGTTGACATATCAAGGTTAATTGGTCTTCCATCGATTTCCCTGCCTTGAAATTCAGCCAAGGCCTTTTCGGCAGCAGATTTTGAATCAAAATCAACATATCCATATCCTCTCGATTTACCAGTAGCTCTCTCCATAATAACTCTAGCTCCAATAACCCCTCCAAGCGGTTCGAATTCTCTCTTTAACCAATCATCATCAATATTCCATGATAATCTTCCTACGAACAAAGTAGCAGGCTCTTCATTGACCTTCTGCTTCTTTTGAATTGGTTGTTCTTCTTCTGAAGCAGATTCCTCTTTTCTCTTTTCTGGTGTTTTAGTTTTAGAAACGGCTTCAGCTTCTGATTCTGATTCTGATTCTGAATCGGAGCTAGAACTCGAACTCGAACTTGAGCTTGAACTTGAGCTTGAGCTTGAACTCGAGCTTGAACTGGACTCAGATTTAGCTTTCGATGACTTTTTGGATTTGCTAGCAGCTTTCTCTTTCTCTTTCTCATCTTCTGATTCAGAGCTCGAGCTGGAATCAGACTCTGAATCAGACTCTGAAGAGCTAGAACTAGATTCAGAGGAGCTCGACACTTTCTCATCAGTCTTTTCAGCCTTCTTACTCTTTGTGTTCTTTTTCTTCGTATCAGGTTCTGAATCTGAGTCTGAGTCTGAGTCTGAACCAGAGCTTGATTCAGAAGAGCTCGATTCAGAAGACTCAGAGTCTGAAGATTCAGCCTTTTTAGCTTTCTCTGTTTTTTTTGCCTTCAGTGTGGATGATGGTTCTTCTTCGTCAGAGCTTGAGTCTGATGAAGAATCAGAGTCGGAATCTGAGCTAGATTCTGAATCTGCTTCTGAGGCTGACGAGCTTTCTTCTGAGCTGGACTCTGAAGAGCTCTCATCTTTTTTGGCTACTGGTGCCTGTTTCTTAGATTGCTTCTTTACAGCCTTTGCTGATTTTGCCCCTGTTTTAGCCATTTTATTATTCTGATTTCCACCAATTCGTAATTCTGCTAAAAATTTAGAAGTAAGTTAGGAAGGGCATCTTAAGTAAAAGAAAAAAAAAATTTAATGGAAAAGGGCATCTCGTGTCACGAGACTTCCAAGAGATAGTAAAGTTCCAAAGTTAGAAATATATATCTTTTAACAACTTGAAAGACCTCCGAAGGTAGGAGATCTAATGATAAATCATGTACCTAGCCATTCTCCGCTGATTAGTCCAAATCGTTGCCATTGGGCTCACTTTCGTTCTGCGTACCAAGTTGGAGTTATCACGGCTCTCGCATTGTCTTCCTGCTATTCAAGAATCTAATTGAAAAAGAATTTAGAACCGAAACTACACATCTCTCATTGTATTCAATTGCTCCCACTGAGCTCAAAAACATTACTCCACTGGTGATAGAGATCTACTCTATAAATTTTGCCTTGGGTGCTATTATGTGATCCTTAATTTAAAAACTCTTTACACTATAGCATCACAGGAATGCAGGATATGGATATTCTCTACAATGGGCTTGCTAACCTTTTACTAACGGCTCTGCTATATATTTTAGCAGGATCTTCATTCGCTACTGATGAAAGATTAAATGTTGACTTTTTTCGCAGCAATACATATAGTAAGATACACTGTTTTGCATGCTTTGCACAGTTTTGCTTCTATTAGAGGATAATCGCCATCTGCCATTCTAACTGATCTATCTTCTTTATTCAATGAGGATGCCAAGTTCTAGGGACATCATGAACGCTTTTTTGAGGTGGGGTTGGTTCTCTTCACGTGTAATTGGTGATGCGAGCGAAAATTTTCTGCGAAAGAGTCAGACATGTTATGAAAAATTCTAGCTTCAGCTTTTGTTCAAAAATAGTAATACTTATACTTAGGTGCTATATAATCCTTCCATTATTTCCTTAAAATTGAAATCAATTTTTCCAATTAGAAAAAGACTGATAATCAAGGGCATTACATGAGATTTTTTCAATTTCTTATTTTTTGCAATTATTAGGTAAGGATTTAGAGATGTTCAAGCAATCACTTAGACTTTTCGAGAAAGCTATGCCTTTGGCATACAAAAACATGCTTAAGGATCCATCAAAAAAGTATGTTCCGTTCAAGGGAGTTTCGTTGCCAGATAGAACTTGGCCCGACAAGAGTATCACAAGAGCTCCAAGGTGGCTTTCCACCGATTTGAGAGATGGGAATCAGTCTTTGCCTGATCCTATGTCCATTGCAGAGAAGAAGGAATATTATCACAAGTTGTTGGAAGTTGGTTTCAAAGAAATTGAAGTATCATTCCCATCTGCCTCACAAACGGACTTTGACTTCACGAGATACGCAGTTGAAAACGCCCCAGATGATGTTTCAATCCAGGTTTTAACACAGTCTAGAGAACCATTGGTCAGAAGGACAGTCGATTCTGTAAAAGGTGCTAAAAAGGCTACTATTCATATTTATTTGGCCACTTCAGACGTTTTCCGTGATGTCGTTTTTAACATGTCAAAAAATGATGCTATTGAAAAGGCCGTTGAGACTACAAAATTAGTCAGATCTTTGACTAAAGATGACCCATCGGCTCAGGACACAGAATGGACTTTGGAATTTTCACCAGAATGTTTTTCAGATACACCCACAGAGTTTGCAGTCGAAATTTGCGAGGCTGTTAAGAGCATCTGGGAACCAACTACTGCGGCTCCAATCATCTTCAACCTACCAGCCACTGTTGAGGTGGCTAGTCCTAATATCTACGCAGATCAAATTGAGTACTTTTGTAGAAATATCTCAGAGAGAGAGAAAGTTTGCGTTTCTGTTCATCCACATAATGATAGAGGATGTGGAGTTGCTGCTGCTGAGTTAGGTTTGATGGCTGGCGCTGACAGAGTAGAAGGATGCCTCTTTGGAAATGGAGAAAGAACTGGAAATGTAGACCTAGTTACAGTTGCCTTGAATTTGTACACACAGGGTGTGTCTCCAAACTTAGACTTTTCTGATATAGAAGATATCATTGAAATAAGCGAGAGATGCAACAAGATACCAATTCATCCCAGAACACCATATGGTGGATCTTTGGTTGTGTGCGCATTTTCTGGTTCTCATCAAGATGCCATTAAGAAAGGATTTTCCAGATCTGAAAAGAGAGCTGCTGAGGGAGATTTACAATGGAAAGTTCCTTATCTCCCATTAGATCCAAAGGACATCGGCAGAAACTATGAAGCTGTCATTAGAGTGAACTCTCAGTCAGGTAAGGGAGGAGCAGCATGGGTGATTTTACGCTCTTTAGGCTTAGACTTACCAAGAAAAATGCAAGTTGCATTTTCAAATATAGTACAAAGAAAAGCTGACAATTTAGGAAGAGAGTTGAAGGCAGATGAAATATCTCAATTATTCAAAGATGAGTATCTTTCTGGGAGCAGCGCTGCAATCAAATTGCTTGATTATGAACTCACGAGGTCAAAGGCCACCACTGATAGAGAAATCACAGCTCTTCTTTCGATATATGGCGAGAAAGTATACATTAATGGTGCTGGAAATGGCCCGATTTCCGCATTTGTTGAGGCTGTATCAAATAAGTTTTCAAGATTATTTGAAGTGGTGTCTTACAATGAACATAGTTTAGGTAGCGGTACCCAAGGAAAGGCTGCGACCTACATTGAATTGAAATTCTTGAATAAAGAAAACGCAAGCATTTCCAACTGGGGATGTGGCATAGAATCTGATGTTACTGAAGCTTCAATGCAAGCTATTATAGCTGTCCTCAACAACTTAATTGAATCAAAAGATTTGCATATATAAAAAGTATAGGGAAATAGAAAATATAAAGCTTGGAGAATGAATGGTATTTGTATTTAGTGGTCGTTATCTTAGAAGAATTACGCACCCCCAGTAAGTGACTCTGATAGTTGTGGTTGAAATTTGTGTCTGCAATATTGTCCCCCCACCGCTTTTCAATCCTATTCCTATTCTATTGGGGGTCCAAAACTGTGTTGCACTTTGATGCTGCACGCCTACCTGGTCATCCTTTTTATATATCTGTGATCAGATATCAATATACAGGCTTAATATTAAGTGTCCAGGACCTAGGGTTTCTCACCTACGCAATAAATAAATCAGTGTGCTTCTCACATTTTATTTTGTTATCTGCAGGCGCGACTTTTTTCTCAAGTTTTTCTTTTCGCAAATTTTCTGGAAGCACTATTCACCTTTGAAAATTTTATTTCGAATATCTGGATTAGCTCGTTCTTTTTTCTTAACTACAAAGAACTAAACAAAATGTCAAGCTTTGAGCCAGTTATTGCTATTGATGGTAAGGGCCACTTATTAGGACGTTTGGCTTCCATTATTGCTAAGCAATTATTGAATGGCCAAAAGGTTGTAGTAGTCAGATGTGAAGCTCTTAACATCTCAGGAGAATTCTTCAGAAACAAGTTGAAGTACCACGATTACTTGAGAAAGGCCACTAGATACAACAAGAAGAAGGGTCCATTCCATTTCAGGGCTCCATCCAGAATCTTGTACAAGGCTATCAGAGGTATGATTCCTCACAAAACCGCTAGAGGTAAGGCTGCATTAGAGAGATTAAAGGTTTTCGAAGGTATCCCACCACCATACGACAAAAAGAAGAGAGTTGTTGTTCCACAAGCCTTAAGAGTTTTGAGATTGAGACCTGGTAGAAAATACACCACTGTCGGTAAGTTATCAAGTGCTGTTGGCTGGAAGTACGAAAATGTTGTCGATAAATTAGAAGAGAAGAGAAAGTTGCACAGCGCCGAGTACTACGCAAAGAAGAAGGCTTTGGCTAAGAAGGTCGAGGCTGCTAAGTCATCCACTGCTGAATCTGACGCTGCTAAGAAGTTAGCTGCTTTAGGTTATTAAGAACTTTTTCATAGGATGAATCTTGAAAAACTCTTACCAACTAATATATTATGATGGTCGTCAGATCTTCTTGTATATTTCCTTTAAATAAAATGTCTAATTACTGAAACAATTGTAACGAAGATCCTAGGTGGGGAGTTTATGTTATTTCTACAGAAAGAATACTTCTAATGAAACTCTAGCATTTCAAAGTCGTAAATATTATGCTATATCATACAGGCGCTACTATAAATCATCGTAGACTATTGCAGCGTACTTACTGTTGTAAAAGAAAAAGTTTTTTAGTTTGCACATTAACAGAGCTCTTTTAGACACCCTATTTGAAGAAGCCTTCTTCATCTCCCAACGCCTCTTCATTCTAGCTAACTTCTTGGAGGCTGTCTCGATGTATGTCACTCCGTTATCTTGACTGTGGAGGACAGATGGAATCGTTATAGACATATGGGGAACATTTTTATTAATCGCCAAATGAAATGTGGAGAAATGCATGTCTGAAAGGAGCGTCGTATCATTATAATGATATAACCTTCCCATCCCAATGAGCCTTATTTGATTCACCGCAACATCAGAATCTTTAAATTTCGTCTCGTGTAAGTAGGCTATTAAATGGCATATACTTATATCAGCTAGCGAAATCTTTCTGAACGGCGCAAGCGTACCTACCACTGCTGATAGCTTGATTTCTATATAGCTACCGGAAGCCAGATCGAGCACCCTGAAGCTTTGTGAATTTTCCCTTTGTAATCTTAGCTCTTGTATCAACGTTTCATTATAGTTTGCATCGTTGTATATCGTTCTAGCACTGTCGACTCGAGATAGACATAGCGTCATTTTATTATGTATCAGTTTCACTCACTCACTCACTCAATAAATTAGTAACAACGAATATTGTATGAATTCAGATTGATAAATTGATATGTTTTATAGTTTTTACAGATCCCCACTATCACAACGGTAATAAATAACATTCAAAAATGAGTTGAAACGAAGCCCTTTCTTTTTACCGTTTCATTCACTTTTACTCCACAATTCCGCGATCCCTGATCTTATTTTTTTTGTTTAGGCAACTTATGATCAGCGCATCCAACCAAAATGCGGAAGAATTACAAACCGCTCGTATACGTCACCCCAAACATCTTCGGTGTTTTTAGTATACCACTCAAATGAGGGCCGCTGTCAATAATGGATTCGAAAAGAGTTAAATACTCCGTTTGATAGAATACCACCAAGAGCTTTTTAGCTATGCGAGTGACATCCGTAGGCTTCAGAAAACTTCACCTATACAATAATCCCACAAGTAAATAGTGTCAAGACCCAAAAAGAGTACGGAATTATCTTGCAGTATTTTACATCTTTTACGACTACAATTTTTACATTCGAAGTGGTCACTAGATACTGGCCGGACTTCGTAGTGTGGACAATATCGTTTAATTCTCTATATGTCTTGTAGCATATCAGCAGAGACGGCTAATGATTTGTGGCAATTGAGCACGACGAAGTTGTTTCTATTTTCATCAATGATGTATCCCCCCCTCTTCTTTAATGTTTGAAATAAATCAACTGCCATAGAGTTTAGCTCGTTATAATCTAGTTTTGTGTTTGCCACTATAAGGCCAAGTGACTCTACTATGAAGACTGTATGTTCCGTGACACTATTGACCGAGTTCAATAAATCTGGAAGGTCATCAACCTTGTTGTAATCGATTAATTTGGACAAGTCATCATCCCCGACTATATACAATAATTTATCCGGGATTGTTTTGTTGAAATAGTTGATACTGGGCGTTGATAGAGACCTCACTTGCGACAACACATATCGTATACAATCATTGACGTCATGATCCTCGTCTGGATACAAATATACTAACGTCATTTGACAAAGAAATCATATTATGATCTACGCGCAGTTAATTATATGTATTTTATAGACGTGTGTATGTGCATTGTTTTGTGAGATGTTACCACCCACTATCCCAATTATCTTCCTGATCATCGTTGTCAATTAAGTTGAGTTTTAGGGCCGATGTTGGTTTCTTGGCCTTACGAGATTCAAGTTTTAGGCCATGGGACTTTGAATGTTGCCTAACGTTGTTTAATCTTGCCGTAGGTTTCTTTGGAGCCGATGGCTGGTGCTCGGGCCGTGCTGGCGCCCTAAAATTCGAAGGTGATGTAGCTTCGGCTACGCTTAGTGACTCTATCGATTGCTGTAAAGGCTCTTCTTCAGAGTCCATACCCCAACCATCGTCAAAAGCGTCTTCATCGAAGTTGACAATTGGAGTAGGTTTTTGTTTAGGGGGAATGTTTCTATGGGTTTCCCGTGCTGCTCTATGTTGGTCTGGAGTGGTGGAACGCGTCAAATCGGGCGTAGAGGAGTTGAACTCTTTATTCATTTCGCCTTCAACTGCTGATGCTGAAACTAGCTTGTTGACTATATTCCATCCGAACAGTGCTGTTGGAGCAGCACTTGTTTTCTCTGCCTCTGGAATTGTGCTTGGAGCATACTTTCTAAAAAACTCTTTTTCTTCATCTTCATCATCGGGTTCTGCTGTTGGCAAATTTGATGCATTCCTTTCGACGGCTTGAAAATATAAAGAAAAAACTCTCTTTGCCTCAGATCTAACTCTTTGTGATTTAGGATCCATTAAAGCTATCGCTAAGTGGCCCAAGATTTTTCCGCAAATTTCATCTAACGAAAAAACATTAATCAAGGATTCAAATCCTGTCAATGCAGCTAGTTTACAAGGCACAAACGAATCACGTAATGACTTAGACAATGCTGTTATTAAAACATTATTCCTTGAATTATTGTATATCTTATCTGAAATCTTAATAATTAACACTAGCGTATTAACTCTTATTGAAGGCTTCGGGTCCATCTGTGATTTCGCCAAAATCTTTAGTAAATCTTGATTCACCTGCTTGGTTGATATTTTGTCAACAATCTCCGTTATGGATTTTAAAGTTGTTTCTCGTATAACAAAATTACTGTCTTGAAATCCGCTAAGCATGTTATGAAAGATGTTTTGCTGAACTTCAAAATCTGTTAAAAAAGATACGTAGGAAGGCAAGTGACCCAATAGAGTGAGCCTGATAGTTCTATCTGGCAATGCATATGCTTGCAAAATTGTCGGTTTTAAAAGTTTATTGAAGGAAGACTCTGGTAAAGAAGCTCCAAATTTAAGTAAGTGATTCAAAATTGTTCCTAAAGCCTCTTGCGCAAAAGGATAATTGACTTCAGATTTAGAAAGGATTCTAAATTGATCAATCAACTGTGGTATTAGCCTATTTTCCAATAACCCTGGAGGAAATTTAAATTCGTCATTGCCATCAAGAACCAGTGAGAGCTCATTTCTAAAAAACTCTAATTTCTCTTCATTGCTCTTGTATTTTACCTCTTCCAATTGTTTATCGAATTTGATTAAGGTATTTCTTTCAAAAAAGGAAGCTGTCTCCTTGAGAAAATTTCCAATGGTGATTCTTAAATTGGGTTTGGCGTTTATCAACCTTTTGAATGACGGCAACATAGCATGAGGAAGTTTAGCAGACATCAATTTGGGCTGGGTTACAAAAGATGATGTTAATGAATTGAAATCGTGGTTAGACAAAATGAGATAAATGAGGACCCCGTATTTGAAGGAATCAAACTTAATTGGGGATGCTTTAATCGACTCTATACCTCCTTCAGAGACATCAGGTGGTAGGCACTCGTTAAAGGAGGGCATTCTGTTTGAGAGCCTATAAATTGGCTGCTCAGGATCCGAAACTAAGCTAGTCGCTAACTCAAATCCAAATAGCTTCCAACTACCCGCGTTGTCAACATATACTGAAGTAAATAGATCAAGGTTACCGAGTAGACAATTGCAAGTCTGATTGAGAAACGCCAAGGTTTGACCCACTTCAAATAAACCAAGAAGCTTCGCGTCAGTCGATATCCTTTCCTTATTGTTTATGAGATAGTCATATAGAGGTTGTAACCGTTCAGTGATAATATAAAGAAAATTTTCATTTTCAATGAAATCTATAATTGGGATGATCCCAGGAAATTTAATTGATCTCAACTTCTTGAAACTGTTTCTAGCCAAAAGGTCATGGCCATCTCTCAAATTCTTTGGATCTTTCAAATTGAACTCAAATATCGATATTTCCATATTATTTTGTTTTGGATTACTACCATTGTAAACAGTCCATATTGATCTGTTATTAGGGAACCCACTTAATGGATCGGCAACCTTTTCTTTCAATGTATAGGGTATTGAACTACCTGTCAACGTACTGAAAGTCTTGGACAAGAAGTTCATCTTGAGTTCGCGTTGGATTAGACCAGAAGTATAGTTTTCTATTATTTATATCCTAAAGATAATCATTTTTATTTACGCATTATTTTCTCGTAATATTACTTAAGTCTATTGAAACTGTTAACATACACAAATATTTAAAAGTAATTATGAGAGTCTATACTTGATAGTTGTTGATTTGTCCTCCTGAATTTCTCAACCTGTTGTTATTGATAAAATTCACTTGTCCTTGAGAAGAATTGAAATGACTGCCCAATCCAGTCCCATTGCCTATTGTATGGTTGATTGTACTTGTCTGCGATTGTGGTGATTGACTTGACAGTTGATCATTATTTGACCTTTTGCCTCTTCCTCTAATTCCTTTATTCGAATTCTTATAGAGGTCTTTGAAATAGTTAAGCAAGTTTCTTTCGTCGGGAGGCAACTCATTAATTGCGGGTCCACTTAATTCTGCCAATTTATTTGTCAAATGATTCAACGTAGCCAAATGAAACCTATTCTGGTGAGACTTCAAATTACCCAACTGTGTAAACGATTTATCGCAATCATCCAACTTGCATTCATATGGTTTTAAATTTTCATGAGTCAATTTGTGGGCTGCCAAATTTCCTTTCCTACTGAATGATCTGTTACACACTTCACAAGTAAATGGTTTCTCACCTGTGTGCAACCTCAAATGGGTTCTTAAATTGCCTCCTTGAGTAAATCTCTTATGGCAATAAGAGCACTCAAAGGGCTTGTACCCTATATGAGATCTTACATGAACCTCTAGATGAGTTGATTGCGTGAAGTATTTGAAGCAGTAAGGACATTGCTGATTTTTAGTTTTTTTTCTCTTTTTCTGATCATCCGGGCTCTCAGAGTCGTTCTTCGTTCTGTTTGGTTTATCAACTCCACCGACTAAGCTTATAGGCTGCGGTAGTACTCTCGAATCATCTGAGCTTCCGTCTGCCGCTCCAAGGATGCTGCCATCAGGTCCTTGGTGGATCTGGTTCATTACGCCCTTATCGCGAGCCTGAATAACTAGCATCAATTGATCTATTTTGGTAGCCCCCAATAAGGGACGGCCATCTTCAGACTTTACATACAGCTGTGCTGGAACGAAGTCTTCCTTCAAGTGACTACTGTCGAGTGGTGTATTATTCGCAGGGTTCTGCATTGATTGAAAGTTATTTGTCAAGTAGTGCTGTTCTTGTCCATGTTTCTGATGTTCTTGTTGTTGTTGCTGTGGATGTTGCTGCTGCCGTTGTTGTTGCTGCTGCCGTTGTTGTTGTTGTTGTTGCTGCTGGGATAGTATATAATTATTTGAGGATGCAGAATTCTTAGTTAATGAGCTTGGAGCGAGTGAATTCAAGTAACCTTTAGTCTGGTAGTTGGTCGGCTGATACTGGTTCGAATTCTGTTGGTACTGATTTGGCAGCTGAGAAGATGAACCAACTGCTGGAGGTAAACCATATGACGTCGGGTAAGTTTTTGGCGATTGAGGCTCATCATTATAGTGAGCCGACGATTTTGAAGACAACGATGACGCAGGTGAAAGGCGTAATTTTTCTTCGGGCAGCTTGCTCAGTTCTATCGCTTTCTTGGGCTTTTCGAAAATATCTTCCCTCAAATTAGTCTTATTGGAAGGTCCATTATCATTCGATTTGCGATAGCGTTTGATACTACTCTGGTCATTCAAAACTTTCAAGATCGAGTTTCTTCTTTGCTCGTTGCTCATGTTTCCAAAGTTTACATTGTTATTAGAAATCCCTGCTATTATTTCACTTAAGCTTCCACTTATTCCACTTATCGATCCTGGCAAACCTGCATTTTCCCACAAAGACATATCTACTGAACCAACTTTCGGTTTAGAGTTTCTGTTCTCCTGTTGCTGACTTGTTTGTCGCTGTAACAGTTGTTGCTGTAGTTGCTGCTGTCGCTGATGCTGTTGTTGCTGTAGTTGTTGTTGCCGTTGCCGCAGTTGCTGTTGTTGTTGTTGTTGTTGTTGTTGTTGTTGTTGTTGCAGCTGTAGTTGTTGTTGCTCCTGTTGTTGTAGTTGTTGCTGCTGCTGCTGCCACGCAAGTAAATTTCCCCAACCTTCCTTGTCAATAAGATTCTCCAAGCCTTCCAATGTAATCTGATCTTGACCATTTCCTAGTGGCAAGATAGACGACTGCCTATTTTTCTGTATTACGTGGCCATTATTTGTTTGTTCATCTTGACTTTTCTCATGAAAGTTGTTCAAATTATTTGCACCCATGGAAGTTGTACTTGCGCTCGTATTGCTAGAGTTTCCTGAAGGTTCACTGATGGAATTACCACTAGAGCTTGGCATCTGTATCAACGAGCTGAAAATACTGTTTGATCTAGACTGTAAAGGATTAGCACCATACCCGATACCCGAATATTCGTTATTCTTCACGGGCTGTAAAAGAGGAGGCTGTAACGAGATGCTGCTGACACGAGATCCATTCAAATCGTTTCCAGGAACATTATTCAAAGAGTCACGGCGATTCATATAGTAACTTGGAAAGGTTGCGCTCAGCTGTGCTTGCCCACTCAAAGCATCATTTGGACTCTGTTTTGGCGGTGAGCCTTCGTGTAACAAAAAGTTATTGTTAGTTGAGTAATTATTTAACAATAAACTTATCAGGTCTTGTCTTCGTGGGTTGAATAAGAAATTAGATTGATTCGAACCTGGTTGTTTAGAAGACTGGACTTGATTGTCCGCCAGAGGATATGAACTCATATCTAATTTGATATTGTTATCCTTTTTCCCGACATCACCACTGGTCGAATCGTAGTTTCTAGGTTGACTCATCTCTGAATTGCCTCCAGTATTTTCTTCGGGGACACTATTTGTGTTGGAGGACCTACCCATGGGATCAAACTTTTGGGTCCTGGAAGAGATGGTGGAATTTACCATTTTGCCTTCCTTGCAGCCTCGTTCAAGCTGTGATAGCTCCGATGTTGAATGTGAGCTTTAGAGCCTTCAAAACAGCTCTAAGTGTCCAGTAAATGCTCTCCGCAAGTCCTCAACTCTCCTTCAGATAACTGTCCTGCTCAATAAAAGAAAGAGCTCTACTATAGTGTATATGTCGTTGGCAAATTGATGTGCCAAAAAACAGTGTTATTATCTGACAATTTATAGCACAATCAACTTATTTAGTAATTGAACAGTAGTTCTGTTTTAGTTCTCGTTCCTTATCACCTCTTTTCGTCATGTAAGCAATAATAAGACCTTCATGCCTGAATTTATTTTGGTCACACAAAACCAAATCTCTACTGAGGAAGACCGCAACAAAAGTTATTGAGAAACTTAATAATGTATATATTGATGGAGATGCTAAATGTATATTTAAGAGTTATTGAGAGCAGTGCATGTAGATAATAGCCCTTGTAAGCAAGTCAGCAAATTATTTAGGTTCTCGTCATCTAGCTCAGGGTTTCTTAGGTATGAAGATGGTGTGATAATAACGTTTTGATCTTTATATATCACAGAATGAAGAGTATCCAAGAAGTTCATGGACAATTTCAAAAATTTCCCATATTTGACTGCATTATAAGGAAGATTGTCATAATCACTCATTAATAGTGATAGCATCATATTTTTGATTAAATTAGACATTTCAACCTTAGACAATCGGTCAATCTTATAAAGTTGTAGCTTGGAATAGTAACCTTGGAATTCCCTGCTAACCGTCTCCTCATCTATTAGCTGCAGCTTTTTTCCAATTTCTTTTCGTAAGAGTAGTACTTCTGCTTCTAGTTCTTCTTTATGGGGATCAGAAAAATCGCTTTTTTCCTTATTGAAAGCAAGTGGTGATTTGAGTTGTTCTTTCAACCAGTCAACCTCGTTGATTAGTTCCCTATTATTGGCTTTCGATCTTTCCAACTTAGAAGTCAAAATATTATTTAATGCCTTCAAGCTATTGATCAGCTCGCTTGGAAGCTGTCCGTTTTCATTAGAATCCATAAACCTCGTAATATTTGGATTTATGGTTTCGTGGAGTCTGCCTTTTGAATCGTTAGCTTTTATTTCAAGATCGTTAACGTGAATTTTTAAATTCAAATTTTCTCGCTTTAATTCGTCTGTTTCTTTCTTTAAAAACTCAATTTCTTTATGTAGTAATTCGATCTTCTCGTTTTCATTACTATTATATTCGTTTTTAAATCTCTTCGGTAAATAACTTATATCGTAATCAGTCTCATTGAACTTATTGTCTTTATTACTTAAACTGTCTATTATTTCTTGAGACCTTGGCGGTGTCGTAATGGGGGAGTCGTCGTCCTGAATGTC